AAATGATTCATCTATGTGTTTCATTTTTAAAACTTTTTTTTGGACATTTTTAATCAAAATGTCATGACTGGATCTTTTAGTGAAACGCTAGACGTCACTCTCTCTGGTGACGTATGCCAGACTTCTCCAAACATTAGGTCCACTTACACTCCATCCCTTTCTCGCAAACGACTGCAAGCTTGCATTCATTATTGAGTGAAATGCCCACACCCCAAAATTCAATTAACAACCGATTGGTAGAACCAAGTCTACATCCCTTTTTTTTTTTTTTTTTAATAATTCATTTTATTCAGCTGTATGTCACAATATGGAATAGATAGAATCTTTCACTACTTAAATTTCTTCAGTTACATTACATTTCTTCAGTCACATTAAAGATGGACAAAAATAAGTTAACAAATATGTTAATGGAATAATTCCGCTTGTGTGTGTGTGTGTGTGTGTGTATATATATATATATATACACACACACACTACCATTCAAAAGTTTGGGATCCGTAAGACTTATGTAATGTTTTTTAAATAAGTCTCTTATGCTTATCAAGACTGCAAAAATACAGAAAAAAACAGTAATCTTGCATAAGTTATTACAATATAAAATAATGGTTTCTATTTTAATATCCTTTCAAATATAATTTATTTCTGTGATGCAAAGCTGAATTTCCATCAGCCATTACTCCAGTATAAAGTGTCACATGATCCTTCAGAAATCAATGAATTGTTATCCCATAGAATTGTCACAGTGACAAAAGGGAACACATAATCCTCATATTTGGAGGAAATAAAATTGTAGTACAGTTATGCAATTTTTATGTATTTTAGTATGTTTTAGTAGTGTTTTAGTATTATTAGTAATTATTAGTATTATTAGTAATTAGTATTATTAAAATTCTGTAATGTGATGTGGTCGCTACCAAAGCATTATAGTCACTACTGAAAATGTGCTGTCACTACCGAAACGTGGGATGTTTTGTCAAAAATAAAGTATACTGAATTATCTACTAAGATGTTATGATAGTTTTTGATTCAATGTATATTCAAACTAATAAATCCTTAACTTTGAGATCAGTATGATCAACTTTTTGCCTTTTACAAAGAAAAATTGAATTCAAAATACAACAAATCTCATAATTTACACTTGAAATATTGTTTAAAATTTAGTTATTGATTTACCTCTGAAAAAATGTAATAAAATAGCAAAAAATATATTTACAATCTAGATGTAAGCAAAATCTTAATAGGTCAATATAACCCTTCTAATTAAATTATTATTACTGTGTGTCGGTAGTGACAAATTTGGAGAGAGGACAAATATTCCAAAACTTTCTAAAAATACAATATGGCTACGTTCACACTGCAGGCAAATGTGGCCCAATCTGATTTTTTTTTTTGCTCACATGTGACTCAGATCTGTTTTTGTCATGACAGTGTGAACAGCACAAACCGCATGGAATCTGATCTTTTCAATTCTGATTTGTGCCCCTTCCATATGTGGTACTAAATCCGATCCATGTCGGATGTTTTGCAGTGCGACCGCAGCGTGAACAGTCATGTCGGATGTTTTGCAGTGCGACCGCAGCGTGAACAGTCATGTCGGATTTCATGCGGCTTTGACGTCACTCTAGATCGACATTCGTCATAATTCCTGCTGATGGGCGACACTTCAAACATTTACATACCCAAAGTTATCAAGACAGTAGCGAAAGGCACGTTAATCAGTGGACGTGTGATGTGTCAGAACTCATGTGTGTTACAGTGACAACTCTACAAGCGAAACATGAGTTTCAAAACTCTGCTTTCTTTTGTCACATCCTTGTCTTTATTTTTTCATATTGCCTGTGCATAATTTCGCTGGCTTCTGCAGCAGATCACACTATAAATAAACGCATAATCGCTTTCTTCATATCCTCCGTGTTTACTTCCGTATGACGGCGCGCTGCGCAAGTGTTGCCAAATCCCTGTTCGTATCGTTCTTTTGCGCATGCGAGTCAGTTCAGAACCTTTATCTGTTCACACTGGAAATCTGATATTGGCCACATTTAAAACAACTATACAAAAAAATCGGATCTGAGGAAAAAAAATCAGAATTGAGCACTAAGGCTCGCAGTGTGAACGTAGCCTATGAGACTTAACTGCACAATTCCAAGAAATGTGTACCTTGGATATTTGCATACATACTAATTTTTTGGAAAAAGAGAAGATTTTTATTTCAATACGTTTCCAACTCTGTCTTTGGACCAAGTCCATAGAATGGCCCATATATACAGTATATCCCAGTCGACAATTGATGAAACCAATTTCAGAGTAGGATTAACTTCCTGTTTTCACCCAATTACCACTGGAATAAATTACCGTCAAAACTGAATTTAAAGTAATGTTATGCACATCTCAAACTGTTAAGTGTACAGTAAATGCTACAGCATTTCATTCTGTAGTAACTGCTGAGGCTTTAAAATGGATTGTAAAACTGTTGATCTGACCTACCATCTCTCTATTACTAATAATGATTAAACTCTACTTGTAGAAAGTTTTTTTTTAAAAGTCCAAATTCTGAATGCCAACTAGTGACAGAGAAATATATACAATTACATTTGTGCTGTTGTGTCATATAGGTTACACACAGACCAAGACAATTGAGGTTCAGCAGAGATCCTCCTCTGTGGCAACACAACAGACCACTGTTTCTTCTGTCCCCTCGCATCCCTCAACCACTGGAGTAAGTACTGATAGATCACTGCCAGTTTCACTATCATAGTATAATGCTAATATCGTATGCATATACCCTACATATTTACTGTGTATTTGATGAAGTTGGTTGTTTAATATTGTCCATTTTCTCTTCAACAGAAAACTGTCCGTGCCATGTATGACTATGCTGCTGCAGACAATGATGAGGTGTCCTTCAAGGACGGTGATGTGATTGTGAGTGTGCAGTCTATCGATGAGGGTTGGATGTATGGCACTGTGCAGCGTACTGGAAAGACCGGTATGCTCCCTGCCAACTATGTGGAAGCCATCTAAATACAACTACTGCTCTCTCAAACGCCCTGTGGATGAGGGCATTTGATATCCACTCAGAACAAATTATTTTATGTGTACTAATGTTAGTCCAAGTAGTTACGCTGTTTGTCCTCATTACTGTTAAGAAATTTCATTTGTGCCCATGTCACAAGTCTATTGTGGTTGTGGCATGAGAAACTGACAAACTATACATACCTATTTAAGTCACAGACAATTGTATTTATCTTTGTTCTATTCTAACAGTTAAGTAAACTGGAGCCCATTATTTTTGTATATTGCAATCACACTACATTCAACGTTTGCACAACGAGAGATGGGCTCATGGTTCACTTTATACGTGAAAAAGGAAAATCTGAAATTGTTTTATAAAAACCGAACAGCGGCACTAAAGTGAAAATGAAAAGAAAAGAAAACCTTCAGGAAGACATTGAGGACAGGCCATCAGTTCCTCAAAAATGAAAATGTATTGATGTTAAAAGCAAGCCTCCTCCCTCCCTTGCTGAAGGCTGGCCACTATTTGCATGCGTGTTTTGTTTCTGATTCTGTAGGTGTGGGGTTAGAGGAAGATGTATACCTTGAATCAGTAGATAATAAAACACCATGCTTCTGCAGTCCATCTGTTTACTGTCATGGATATGTATTCGTAATTTAGTGGTTTGTACAAAGAGAGCTATTGACAAAAAAATCCAAGCATTTAATGAAAAAAGAAATTTTATTAATACTATAGCATAAAAAAAAAAGTTTCCTTGGCATCTCACCACAATTTTACAGTCTTAAAAATCACGCCATAAAATACATTGACACTTAAGTAGCAATGGCTTTCGGCCACTGAAGTCTGTTCTCTGAAAGAGCATAATTAGAAATTCATCTACTCTAAAATTCCAGCTAAAACTTGAGAAATGAGCAGTCCACTGTTAATCTTCAAGTTAAAAGTGAATTATGTCAGGAAAATGTCTCGATGTCCTCATGGCAAGCTATCATCAAGATTACTCAGCAAGCGGGACTGCATGTGGGTCACAATGCTTCTCATCATTCCGCTCAGATGTTCGTGCATCAGACCCAGCTGGTTGGGTGAGCAGCGACCAAGCTCCTCTGAAGTTAGGTGTCCACTAAGGGCTTCAACATCTGAGAGCAAATCACGAGATTTGTTCTCCTCAGCCATTGGTTCGGAATCTACTTCCACTTCTGATGGTCTGTCATCTGCAAAAAGTTGGGAGTCATGAGTTAAGTCATTGTCATGTTGAAAGTATCGCCAATGATGGATTTGACAGAAGAAATAAAATAGCTAACCTTGAGCCTCTCCTGGTGTTTGCTCCTCCTCTTGGTTTTGAGGAAGCTCCATCTCTTCAGGCTCAGATGTCATTTTCTCCATTTCGTCAAAACTCTTTAGGTCATCAGAACTCCCTTTTCTCTGTACAGCCAAATGTGAGATATAAGAAATGATCTCCCATAATAAAGGAGAAGATACTAATGCAACATACAAAATTACCTGCTGTTCATAATAGGTTTTAAGTGCTTTCCTCACATTGGACAGCTTAGGCGAGCGAATAGGAAGAGACTTGATTTCACTTGGGGTAAGGGCACTCAGGTCTCCAACCGTTTTGATGTTTCTTGCTCTAACAAGCTGACCAAAGCCACGAGGCCTAAACACAAAGAAAAAAAAAAAACAGGTATGCCAATTACCTACATTCTTTACATTAATACCCCAGAAAACAACCTTTAGATCTGTGATCAAATCTAGTGATGAGAAGAAACTGATTGAACTGCTTGGGTGAAGAAATGGTATACGTGTACTACCACGGAGACGTCTGTCAGCTATACCACTCGATCGATACTTTGATGTATTTGTAGTTCACAAGGATATAAAATTAAAACTGAGGAATGAACTTAATGAACTGAAGCCAAGATGTACGAAAGGGGAAATGGGTGATCTGGCTTACCACATGTTGGAGGATATCTGTGGCAAAACAGCCTCTACAGGGGTAGAGCAGCCAACAAGTGCTGGATAAACACAATCTTTAGCAATAGGACGTGGCTCCTGGCTCATCTCTGAAATCTATGATAAAGAAAGAGGAACATTTTAACACCACTTCCACTTGGACTACTGTTCAAATAAACTGAAGTCTGATGCAACTGAATAACATGAGAAAGTCTTAATTTCTCAGAATTAAGAAAAAGAAAAAAAATCTTTATGAATAGGCAGACTTTATGGGAGCAATATAAACAGAAAAAAAAACTTCAGCAATTTAAGTACAAGGCAAGAAAATAATTACCAGGCATTTTTTAGAGCTTTTGGATCCAGGGCTACGGAGGTTACGTGGACTTAGACTTGTATATCCTTTTGTGGGGGTAGTGATATACTGTAATAAAATTGAAGAAATTAAACGGTATGCCATGAAAAGTTAAATCTAATCAGTTTTATATCCAAGATGTAACGATTTCAAAACTCATCACACACCTTCGACTGTCCACTCAAGACTTTGGACCTAGGTGAGCTTGTGCGAATAACTGGACTACGTCGATCAATATCATCAGCCAGTTCTTGATGATAAATTGGAGTTGCAAAAGACACTCGACGTGACTGCAAAACAATGTTTTAGAAAAAGAGAAAATTACCATACATTACACTTGTTTCAGTTTCCTAAATATTATAGTATACGGTCAAATACCTTATGAAGAGGGGAGGGTGTATCCTCTTCACATGTTCTCTTCTGCCCCTTCTTCAGAATACTGGTGGATGGAGAAGCAGATGGAGACCAGACACTAGATCGGTTTCTGCTCGGACTCTGGCCAGGCTCCAGCTCACCACTAAGAGCGTCCAAAGGTTTAGGCTTGGGTGGTGAATCTAAGCAGGCTCCAGAGGTACTACTTTCAGGAGGTACAGACATCTCTTCTTCCTTCTCAACAAGAGCAACATCCTTGTCAAGCAATTCTTTGCCATTTGACTCAGAAACAGCAAGGTCTTCACTTTCCTTCACTGCTGGGTTACCTGCATCCTCCTGCTGGACATGGGAAGACTCTAGCTGCTCTTGGCATTTAGGTGCATCTTCCACTGGGCGACCTTGACTTGGAGATGTGTCTTGAGGTGTTGAACTCTGGAGAGGTTCTTGACTTACTGAAGTGTTTTCCAATCCATCTTCTTTGTGCTTTTGACTACCTGTGCACCCAGAACTCTCCAACTGCTTGGTCTCTGCCTCTGAGAGCTCTACATGCTTCTTGTTTGATTCACTTGTTCGTTTGGATGATTCAAGCCGTGTTCCTTCCTCTGCTTCAGACAGCTGAGAAACAATTACACCAAGCTTTGCAATGGGACTTTCAGAAGGGAAAACCTCAGATGGGAGTTGAGCAGGCATGGCTGAAAATGGCTGAAAATCAGCATCTGGGACATCTGCAATTCCTGAGCTCTCGCTTTTCTTTGCTACAGATGTTGCGCTAGACTGCTTAGGTTGAGAGTTCAGGGCATCAGTGACAAGTGGAACCTGCTCACTTTTCAGATCCTGCGATTCTTGGAAGTCACTGCCCTGTGAGAACACGTCACGGTTGTTTGAAAAGCAGTTGCAGCTTCTAGATCGTCTACGCCCACGGCCCCGTCCCCTGGTATGTGGACATTTATGCGGAACATTAGTCTTCTCAATTAAATCTTCCAATCCAATCTGTGAAGATGAATTAAATTCTTCACCTTCTGCTTTCTCACTAATGACCTCCTTCTCATCTGTATAAGTTTCAGTCTTCAATTCTATCTGAATTTTGACATCATCTGCACTCTCCAACTGCTTTGTCTCTGCCTCTGGGAGCTCTACATGCTCCTTGTTTGATTCACCTGTTGGTTTGGATGATTCAAGCTGTGTTCCTTCCTCTGCTTCAGACAGCTGAGAAACAATTACACCAAGCTTTGCAATGGGACTTTCAGAAGGGAAAACCTCAGATGGGAGTTGAGCAGGCAAGGCTGAAAATGGCTGAAAATCAGCATCTGGGACATCTGCAATTCCTGAGCTCTCACTTTTCTCTGCTACAGATGTTGAGCTTGACTGCTCAGGTTGAGAGTTCAGGGCATCAGTGACAAGTGGAACCTGCTCACTTTTCAGATCCTGCGATTCTTGGAAGTCACTGCCCTGTGAGAACACGTCACGGTTGTTTGAAAAGCAGTTGCAGCTTCTAGATCGTCTACGCCCACGGCCCCGTCCCCTGGTATGTGGGCATTTATGCAGAACATTAGTCTTCTCGATTAAATCTTCCGATCCAATCTGTGAAGATGAATTCAATTCTTCACCTTCTGCGTTCTCACTAATGACCTCCTTCTCATCTGTATCAGTTTCAGTCTTCAGTTCGATCTGAATTTTGACATCTTCTGCACTCTTTAACTGCTTTGTCTCTGCCTCTGGGAGCTCTACATGCTTCTTGTTTGATTTACCTGTTGGTTTGGATGATTCAAGCGGTGTTCCTTCCTCTGCTTCAGACAGCTGAGAAACAATTACACCAAGCTTTGCAATGGGACTTTCAGAAGGGAAAACCTCAGATGGGAGTTGAGCAGGCAAGGCTGAAAATGGCTGAAATTCAGCATCTGGGACATCTGCAATTCCTGAGCGCTCACTTTTCTCTGCTACAGATGTTGAGTTTGACTGCTCAGGTTGAGATTTCAGGGCATCAGTGACAAGTGGAACCTGCTCACTTTTCAGATCCTGCGATTCTTGGAAGTCACTGCCCTGTGAGAACACGTCACCGTTGTTTGAAAAGCAGTTGCAGCTTCTAGATCGTCTACGCCCACGGCCCCGTCCCCTAGTATGTGGGCATTTATGCGTAACAGTCTTCTCGTTTAAATCTTCCGATCCAATCTGTAAAGATGAATTCAATTCTTCACCTTCTGCTTTCTCACTAATGACCTCCTTCTCATCTGTATAAGTTTCAGTCTTCAGTTCTATCTGAATTTTGACATCTTCTGCTTCTTTTTCCGAGGTAATCAGTTCATGTGGTACACCATCAGGGGCAGGGACATCTACTTTGTACTTTTGCTCAAGTTCTTCGGTCTCAATGACTAAAATATTCAAACTAGTTTCAATATCTGCCTCATCCTGTGACATCTCCATTGAAACATCAACACCCTCCTTATCTGGCCCCATCTCAGTAACTATGTGCTCTGTGGAAACTGGCAGCACTTCTGTGGATAATGATTTGCGCGGTCTCTTTTTAGACCTTGGTCCATCTTGTCGGCTATTAGAGTGTTCAGACTCGGTGTTGTCAGTAGGAGCCAACAAACCTTTAGAGCGTCGAGTTCTATATCTACCAAGACCTTCTGAGGAATCTTGGCTTGCACTTAACTCTTCAGCATTTACAGTTGATGTGGCATCTCTTATACTATAGTCGGTCTCTTCTTCTGCAGTTCTCCTTCGCATAGCTCTACCCTTCACCATTGTCAGTGTTTGAGAGTCTGTCTGACTTAAGTCGTCTTTGGTCTGCGAACCAGCCAGCTCCAGTAATTGAGATTCAGATCTCCTTGTTCTTCGCGTTCTGGCAGTTTGCTGGCCATCAGCCTCAGAATCGGAAAGAGGTGTCTGTGAATGTTTCTTTTTCAAAGTGGACGCAGAATTATGAGGATCGTTTTGCGAGTTTTCATCTGCCTCCTTGTCTGTTGATTCCTCAAGGTGCACTCTAGTCTTCCTCATAGGTCTACCCGGTGACAAACCTTCAGACTCATTGAGAGTTGACGATCTCTCTTTGCTTTGGCCATCTGATTGAATTACAGGAGAACTATCAGAAGAGGGCACAGTCTGGCTTGGCTCTTTATTACCAAGCATAAATATTGGAAACTGTGGAAGTGCCTGTGAAGATTCTGCAGAGGAAATCTGTGAATTACTTTGGCTAAGCTTTCCTTTTATTCCTTTAGTGTTCAACTGGTCTCCAAATTTACAGTCCTCAATAACCGTACTTCTTCCTGTCAAAATGCTAATTGTTGGAGACAGTATGTGCTTCTGTGTATTTGTCACCGCAGAATCTGCAACTTGTTCTAGACATCTGCTTTTCATCTCCCCCGGATCTTCCCCTGGGCGTACAGGTTTACTTCGTCTTCTGCCTGACCTTCTTGGTTCTTGACTAGCTTGAGAATCAGTAAGACTCTGTGAATCTTTTTCAGGAGAATCTTGTTCCTCTACACTGGCTTTGGACACAGGACTTTTCTTATCACTTGACGTGTCGCCAGATAATTGGGTCTGGATATCTGGGACCACATCATCCTCTTCATCTGTACCTTCACCACGATGACCTGTTGACATCTTATCTTTTATTTCCTCATTTTGAGCAGATGGGTCAGTGCTGCTCCTCTTTTGAGAGTCCTCTTTTGTAGTCTGAAGTTGTGAGTCATTTGGAGTAGCCTCCAATGCCTTTGAAGAACTCAGTCTTCTTGATTTGCGAATGTGCGGACCAGTAAATGCAACACTTGCAGGACTGGGTGATTTCCCATCAACATATTTCTCTAAGGTTATGAAAGACTGACGCCTCCTATTGGGTTTAGGTGGTGTACCTGATATCATATCAGATGAACCTGAAACATTAGGGCTGGTCCCCTGAAGTCCACTTTTCTCATGCCCACTCACATCAACTGAGATGTCACTGGATGGTGACTGATTCTTCTCTGAAGTTTTATCTTTATTTTGAGTAGCTTTCTCTGGCGTTTCTACAACCGACCCAGTGCCTTCTTGGGTTAATTTAACATCTGTGGTTGGTTCCTCAGTTGAGGCAACCTCCTTGGGGGAAGGAAACAACATTAGAACCAATTAATACCTTTATCAAAAAGCATGCGTGCATATCCTCCACATAATCAAAATTGCAGTGCCAGAGTTTAAAAACGCTGTTTTACCTTTAGCTGAAAATCAGCATCTTCCTCTGGTTGATCCTTTTCATCATTTGTCAATTTGTCCCTAAAACATGTTTACAGGGAAAGTTTGTGAACCCTTTAGAATTTTCTATATTTCTGCATAAATGAGCCAAAACACAATTAGATTTTCACACAAATCCTTAAAGTAGACAGAATTAAATCAACCAAAGGAGCCAAAAATATATACTTTGTAATTTATTTATTGAGAAAAATGATGCCGTGTTAAATATTTGTGAGTGGCAAAAGTATGTGAATCTTTGCTTTCAGTATCTGGTGTGACCCCCTTTTGCAGCAATAACTGCAAGTAACGTTTCTTGTAACTGCTGATCAGTCCTGCACAATGGCTTGTAGGCATTTTAGTCCATTCCTCAGTACAAAACCCCTTCAACTCTGTGATGTTGGTGGGTTTCCTCTAGAGCTGCACCGATTGCAATTTTCTTGGCCGATTCAGATTTTATGGAAGTGTGACCTGCCGATACCGATTTTTGCCAATTCCGATTTTCTTTCTAAGAACTATAATTGACAGCATATACAAACAAAAATCTATGCAAATTTCAATGCAAAAAATTTACATAAATAAAATGATTAATCATTACAATTCCCCCAATCTGGACCAAGTTACAGATTTTCTCTCACTTAAACAACTTTCAAAATAAAGTGCTCTGTGACTGGAAAGAGGAAGAAATAGTAAACTTAAAATGAGTTGCTGTATGCAACAAAACAGGTGTCATTTCCAACTATATTTATAAACGGTAATTTTTTCCCCCTAACCTTATTAAATGTCATCTTTCACATCAAATTCTTACGTTGTTTTTAATTAATTCAGTTAGAATACGAAACTGTAGAGTTGTTAACATTCAAATGAAATTAGTATTAACAATCTATCTTTCCACTTCTGAGGAAACAGAAGCTGCATCTGAAGTGGCATTAGATGAATTTAAACAGAGTTTGATGAAGCTGAGGTGCAATAAATGCATTTACATTGCAAAATTTCAAATACATAATTTTATAAGATTAAAGGGGTCATATGACGTTGCTAAAAAAGAAAATGTTGTGTATTTGGTGTAATGAAATGTGTTTAAGCGGATTAAGGTTAAAAAAAAATTTCCACATACTGTACACTGTTTCTCCTCTATGCCCCGCCTTTCGTAAACTCGTAGATTTTTACAAAGCTCATCGTTCTGAAAAGCGAGGTGTGCTCTGATTGGCTAGCTATCCAGTGCATTGTGATTGGCCGAATACATCAAGTGTTTGAAGGAAATGATAAGCCCCTTACCATATGATGCCGTGTAACGGCCGGAGCGATGAGACAAAACCACTAAACGAGGCATTTGTTGCATCCAGTGGGGACATAAGTACTGATTATAATGAGTTATACGGTCTTCTGCATCGCGCCGCGTAAACAAAATTATGTCTGCATTTGTGATCGGATAAACGACAAACAACAAGCGCTACTCTACACTGCTCAAAACTCGTGTTTGAATCAGTGGCAAATCCTTTAAATATGAAAGTGTACTTACAGACTGTGAGTCAGCATTATTTGTCAGAACACCGGCATTGTAGGCTACTCTCCCAGGAAACAGTTTTTGTCCTCCGTAAAATGCATTGTTCACATCTGAATATTTGGGTTGGAACTGTTCTGGAACAGTGTTGTAAATACAACTTAACCACTGATTTCTAGTTGTGTCCTCTTTTGGAAGCCCAAACAAAGTAGTTTCACTTTCACAACGAAGCACACAGCGTCTCCACGACATGGCGGCAACAAAACTACAGTGAGAATCAAAGTTACTTTGCGTGACCATTTGTGCGGTGTTCTGCAAATCTTCCCACACAGTGACGTAGACATGTGGGGGCGTGTTTAAACGAGGTATTTTAGGAGGGCGTGGACGAGTCTTAACTTTTATAAAGAATATCTCTTTGGGTTTGAGACTTTAATCTTTGCAACTTTAGTGATCTTATCTATTCACGAACAGCTTAGAGAAAGGAAAACTTGAAATCGCATCATATGACCTCGAATCTATGAGAGATTTATTTTATTTGTTTTACTTATTTATTTGATTTGGGACTTGTTTTAAAATTTCAATGTAGTTTTGTTATTTACATTTAAATTGTCATTTAGCAGACACTTTTGTCCAAAGCGACTTACAAATGAGGACAATAGAAGCAATCAAAACCAACAAAAGAGCAGTAATATGCAAGTGCTATATTAGTATATTATTATAGTGTTATATTTCAATTTCACAAAGAAATGTGCAGCATTTTGTCCAAGCAATAATAAAAGGACACATTTAATTTATAATTCGTCTTAAATCTCATTTTGTAAAAAAAATAAAAAAAATAAATCGTGAATCGAAAAATCTAAATCGTGAGTTGAGTGAATCGTTACATCCCTAGTAATACTGGATCATTTTCCTGAATAAATAAATTACAAAGTATATATTTTCATCTCATTTGTTTGATTGGGTTCTCGTTGTCAACCTTCAGGACTTGCATGAAAATCATCAGATTTTCTGGGTTATATTCATGAAGAAATCCTAAGGGGTTCACAAACTTTTAAGCAGCACTGTATATGTATGCATGTATGTATGTATATATATATATATATATATAT